CACTTGGAAATTAAACAACAACCGAACAACCAATGGATCACAGAAGAAATTCAAGAGGAAATTAAAAAATACCTACAAACAAATGAAAATGAAAATACAATTTACCAGAATCTATGGGATGCAATGAAAGCAGTCCTCAGAGGTAAATTTATAGCGGTGAATTTAAGGAAAATTCACATAAGGAAAATTCACATAAGGAAAACCGAAAGAGAACAAATAAGTAGCCTAATGCTGCATCTTAAACTTTTAGAAAAGAAGAACAAGTCAGGCCCAAAGCCCAAAGAAGGGAGGAGATTATAAAGATTAGGGCAGAAATTAATGCAATTGAGACAAAAAATCCCTCCAAAAAATAAATGAATCAAAGAGCTGGTTCTTTGAAAGAATAAATAAAATTGATAAATGCCTAGCCAACCTTATCAAGAAAAGAAAGGAAAGAACTCAGATTCATGCAATAAGGAATGAAAAGGATGAAATTACTACAGACTCCACAGAAATTCAGAAGATCATTAATACCTACTTTGAAAATCTTAATCCCATAGGATAGAAAACTCAGAAGAAATGGAAAGATTCCTAGATATGTATGAATTACCAAGGTTGACTCAAGAAGATATCAAATTCCTGAACAACCCAATAGGAATTAATGAGATTGAAAATGTGATTAATAACCTACCAACAAAGAAAATCACAGGCCCTGATGGATTCACACCAGAAATTTATGAGAAATTCAGAGAAGATTTAATACCAACCCTCATCAATCTCTTCAATGAAATTGAAAAGGAAGCAATTCTCCCTAACTCGTTTCTGGAGGCAAGCATCATACTGATATCAAAACCAGAGACAACCCATCCAAGAAAGAGAAGTACAGACCAATCTCCCTAATGAATATAGATGCAAAGGTACTCAATAAGATACTAGCAAATAGAATGCAGCAAATTATCAAGAAAAGCATACATCATGACCAAGTCAGATTCATTTCAGGAATGCAGGGTTGGTTCAATATTTGCAAATCTATAAATGTTATATGCCATATCAATGGAGCCAAAGACAAAAATCACATGATCATCTCAATACATGCAGAAAAAGCTTTCAACAAGGTTGAACTTGCATTCACAATAAAAACCCTACAGAAAATAGGAATAGATAATCTTTACCCTATCCTGATCAAAGCCATCTATGGCAATCCAACAGCCTACATCATTCTCAAAGCACAAAAATGGAAAAGTTTTACTTTAAAATAGGGAACAAGAGAAGGATGTCTGCTGTCACCACTCCTGTTCAATGTAATTCTGGAAACATTAGCTACAGCAATTAGACAAGAGAGAAATAAAAGGAAGAAGGATAGGAAAGGAAGAAGTAAAACTGTCACTATTTGTAAATGACATGATACTTTTACAGGAAGACCCCAAAAACTTCACAAGAAGACTCCTTGAATTAATCAACAAATTCAGCAGTGTAGCTGGATACAACGTCAACACCCAAAAATTGATAGCATTCCTATACACAAACAACAAACAGACTGAGACAGAAATTAAGGAAACCATACCTTTCACAATAACATCCCAGAAATTGAAATATTTAGGAATCAATCTATTAAAAGAAGTAAAAGATCTCTTCAGTGAATGCTACACTACTCTGAAAAAAGAGATAGAAGATTTCAGTAAATGGAAAAACATTCCTTGCTCATGGATAGGAAGAACCAACATTGTGAAAATGGCCATACTACCAAAACTGCTGTACAGATTCAATGCAATTCCCATTAACTATCATTAGCATATCTCACAGATCTTGAGAAAACGTGCCTTAAATTCATCTGGAACCAGATGAGACCCAGAATAGCAAAAGCAATCCTGGGCAAAAAGGATAAGTCAGGTGTACTCACAATCCATGACCTGAAATTATACTACAAAGCTACTGTCATAAAATCAACCTGGTACTGGCAAAAACACAGACCAGAAGATCAGTGGAACAGACTGGAAGAAACAGCCACAACCAAAAACACACTCAGACACCTCATATTTGATAAAGGGGCCAAACAAATTCACTGGAAGTATGATAGCCTCTTGAATAAATGGTGCTGGAAAAATTGGCTTGGTACCTGCAAAGACTGAAAATAGACCTAAGCCTATCACTATGCACCAAACTCAAGTCAAAATGGTTCACAGATCTCAATATTAAACCAGAAACACTAAATCTGTTGGAAGAGAAAGTAGATAAAAACCTTAAAGATATAGGGGTAGGCAAAGAGTTCCTGAACAAAAACCAAATTGCACATGAAACACTTGAAAGAATCAACAACTGGGATCTCATCCTACTGAAAAGTTTCTGCACATCTAAAGAAATCACCAGCAGAGTCAAAAGAAAACCCACAAACTTGGAAAAAGTTTTAGCTGACTCTCCCTCAAACAAAGGGCTTCTATCTAGAACATATAAAGAATTAAAACATATCAGCCCCTCCAAATTCAAAGACCCAATCCAGAAATGGGCAGCTGAGATGAATACACACTTCTCAGATCATGAAATACAAATGGCAAATAAATACATGAGAAAATGTTCAACATCATTAGTCATTTGAGAAATGCAAATGAAAACAACATTGAGATTCCACCTTACCCCAGTAAGAATGGCTAGCATTAAGAAATCAACCAGTAACAAATGCTGGCGAGGATGTGGAGAAATAGGAACCCTTCTCCACTGCTGGTGGGAATGCAGACTGGTGAAACCACTGTGGAAATCAGTTTGGAGATTCCTCAGAAAACTAGTTCTAGAGGTCCCTTTCAACCCAGCTATTCCACTTCTGGATATTTTCCCAGAAGATCTAAAAACATCATATCACAGTGATTTATGTGCACCTATGTTCATAGCAGCACAATTTGTAATTGCTAAATTGTGGAAGCAACCCAAATGTCCATCCACTGAGGCCTGGATAAGAAAATTGTGGTACTTTTATATAATGGAGTATTACTCAGCTATAAAGAAGGATAAACTCAAGGCTTTTATAGGTAAATGGTCACAGCTAGAGACCATACTCATAAGTGAAATAAATCAGACCTGCATGTGCAAGCACTGCATTGTTTCATGTTAAGGTTTGTGTCTGGGTGTCCCCCCAAAGCCTCATGGGGCCATGGGGCAGGCTTTTAGAGTTTGATTGATTATGGGTGTGAGAGCTACACCCACCCTGGGGTGGATAGTTTGCATTTGTAAGGGAGAGAAAGAACGTGCTTCTGGCCATTTCTTCCCTTGTGTGTGTGCTTGTTGCTTTTGCTGTGTTCGGACGGGATGAGCTGTAGCCCTCTGGCATGTGCCACTCTGCCTTTTAACCTGCCAAGTTTGGACTGAAACCTCCACAAACTATAAGTGAAATAAACCTTTCCTTCCTTAATTTTGGGCATCAAGTATTTTGTCCCAGCAACGAGAGAAAAGTAACCAAGACATTTCACTAGTGTAAAACCTGAAAGAGTTAATTTAAACTGGGAGGTATGATAGACATTGTGAAATGATAGGAAAACACTCAAGGGTAAAGGTCAACTGGTATGTGGGAAAAGAGAAGGGACAGAGGAGAAATTTTGTATGTATGTATGTACAGGATAGTTAACATAGTTGTTCTACTGTCTTCTATTTCTTTGCTGAGATTAACTGTCAATGAGTCCTTGATTGATCAATATTGCATGTCTCTATCTATTTTCATGAGAAATCACTTTGAAGATATCAATATGTATTACAACAAGCATTGTTAATTTCCTACCACTTTGTTTGTAACTCTGTACTGTCTGTACTGTTCTTTTGCTATTTTGTAAAATGTTGTCTGTCTGTTAATGTTTTCCTCCTTTTATTTTTAAAATTAAAAAATTGTAATACAAAACATATGAAACAGTCCATAAACAAATATTTACACTAATTTTTAAATAAAAAGTAACCACAGGTAGACAGCCCCCCAAGTAGACTACAGTTGGTCCTCCACATCTGTTGGTTCCACCTCCATTGATTCAATTGACTGCATTGAAAATATTTTCCTTTTTACTATCTACTAAACAGTACAGCATAACAGATCTTTACACAGCACTGACATTGTATGAAGTGTTAGAAGTAATCTCGATGATTAGAAGTATATTGGAGGATAAGCACAGGGTATATGAAAATCTGTCATTTCCGTAAAGGACATGAGCAAGTGTGGATTTTAGCATTAGTTTTCTTTGGGGGTGGGAGATGTCCTGGAACCTTTCTGCTGTGGATCCCAAGGGGTGACTTTTTGATTATCACACTACCTGCAGTCCTCATACCCTGACTTTTGCGATCATTATTTTCTTATTGATTCAGAATTTCTGAAATTGGTTGTTGTAGTTATGACAGAGCATCAGGAAAAGATGTGCCTATTCCTCTGCAACAATTTTTTTAGGATATGTTTGTGATACCTAATAATTGCATTCATTTTAGGATATGGCATCTTGGCCATCTGTACTGCCCTCTCCTTCCCCAGACACATTCCTCATTTTGAAAGCTCCAGAGGCTCTCCTGGCACTCCTCTTTGCCATAATCTCTTCTGTTTTCCTTCTGATTTCACTGATGGGTGTTTACTTGAGCAAGCCTTGCAGTAGAGCACAGAATATATGGGAATGATGTCTTCCTTGCATCAGTAGTGCCATAGAGAATTGGGGAGGTTCTTCTGTCCTGGGTCTTGCTGAAGCTTTTTCTCAGTCTGGGTTTTGTGGCCCTGAGGGGTGCAGTTTCTGGGTGACCAAGGCTTTTTGCTGACATGGTGGAAGATGGGTGAGTGAAACCCTGAAGTTAAGAATTCATGCTTGAGCCAAGACAGGCACCAGCTCCAGCAGACCCATTCCCAGCGTGCCATGTGGTGAATGTGAAAAGACATTTCTGTAGATTTCTTCTAAGCCAAAGCGAGGCAGCAGTCCCCACAGTCAGTTCATGCTGCACATTAGCGTCTCAAAAATCTCTTAGCCCTGCAGCAAGCTTTCCACTTACACACATTTTTCATTGTTCTAAAGGGTAAATAATGCTTTTCTGGACCGACTCCAAGGCAGAAGTCAGCCAGGTGGCCCCGAGCAGTCTGGAGGCCATCGGAATATGAATAGTCGTAATGGCTGGGTGAGTTTTTTTCCTTTTCTCTTAAAAGAAATCATCTTCCCAAATCGAAGGATAAAAATAATGTGCATTTTACAAATATGTTGTGGCGTTCTCCCCAGATATTACTTTTTTAGTGTGCTGTTCAGCTATATGATGGGCAGTCAGCCTGCATGATTACTATAAATTCCACAAAAGCTTCTGAGAGAGTGAGCGAGCCCTGATTTTAGCTCTGGCCAATCACAATAAAAAGTGACACCTGCCCTTTGTTCTCAGTGTGGTTGCCTGGACTGTAAGGCTTTCATCATCCTTTGCCCAGACCTGCAACAAAAACAAATGAACATTTTTTTCTGAGAAGATTTTAAACGACATATAGTTATAAAAATAGTAAGCATTCTTCTCTAGTAATATATTCCTTTCTGTGAAATTAGCACATCAGAGAAACTGATATTTAATTTTTCACTACAAAATTGTTTTTAAAAACCCTAAAGCAAAAGGCATTTTCTGAAAATAATTTTTCTTATCTATTTCTGTGAAGAAAATCTTGCAACTGTATTGTAATATATATGTAATATATTTTGTGTACATAATAATATATTTTAAAAAATTGAAGCTAGCATCAAGCCAGCATCAAAGCTCAAAATGTGAATGATTGTGAGGATTGCAACATGTATAGAATCAAAAGTACAGTGAGTTTTATGGTTTAGTTGAAGTCCAACTGCATATATATATATATAT